GCAGGGGGCTGGTGCCAGGGGAGGGGGGGCAGCAGGTGCCCATGGTGGCAGGGGGCTGGTGCCAGGGGAGGGGGGGCAGCAGGTGCCCGTGGTGGCAGGGGGCTGGTGCCAGGGGAGGGGGGGCAGCAGGTGCCCATGGTGGCAGGGGGCTGGTGCCAGGGGAGGGGGGGCAGCAGGTGCCCGTGGTGGCAGGGGGCTGGTGCCAGGGGAGGGGGGGCAGCAGGTGCCCATGGTGGCAGGGGGCTGGTGCCAGGGGAGGGGGGGCAGCAGGTGCCCGTGGTGGCAGGGGGCTGGTGCCAGGGGAGGGGGGGCAGCAGGTGCCCATGGTGCCAGGGAGGGTCTGACTCTCTGGATGAGGTGCATGTTGAAAGTGGGGGTTGGTTTCTGTCACCGTGGGGGAAGGGGCCTGAGGGGGAGGGTCAGGCCATTGGAGGGTCAGGGGGCTCTCAGATCTGGCAGGGCCTGGGGTATCCACATGAGGCTGCAGGGTCCTGCACTATGGTAACCGGGTGGGGGCCTGGAGTCCCCTCTCCCGAGGAGCTGTCCACTTTGGCGGTCTGCGGTGTCATTGCAGAATGGAGCCACCAGGAGGCGCTGTGTCTGGGGAGAGCCTGGGGCAGAGGCCGGGGACCCCTCCAGAGAGAGGGGTGCTTGTGGGGGAGGACAAGGGGGCTCCATGGGAGAGGCCCCCTTGGCCAGATGGGCAGTGACTGGCCTTTCCAGCCCTTGGCAGCATGGCCCTGGGGCCTCCCGAAGATCCCAGGAGACGCTCGGCTGCAGGGGGCTCAGAAACGAGCGGCGGAGCCGCCGGGGCCCAGGTGGTGGCGGCTGCCCCTCGAGCCGCCTGTTAATCGTTAACGTTGCTCCGGCGCTAAAATTAGCCTGGGTGGCAGCGGAAGGCAGCTCGCCGGAGCGGGAGCCGCGGCCCTTGGCACAGGCTGCCCCTCTTGCCTCGGGCTCCCCACCTGAGAGCCCAGGGGCAGATGGGCCCGGCTCCCTATGCCTGGCCCTGCCCCTGTGTCCAGTTGAGGCTGGGCTGTCTGGACGGGGGAGGGGGTCGGGCAGCGGGACCCCTGGCTGGCCTGTCTGGACGGGGAGGGGGGGGGGGGGAGCGGGGCCCCCGGCTGGGGGGGCCGGGGGGGGGGGGGGGGGGGGGGGGCGTGCGGGGTGGCGGGGCGGGCTGGATGGGGGGGGTTGGGGAGCGGGACCCCCGGCTGGGGTGAACGATGCAGCACATGGCAGCGTTTGGCTTCTGGGAAGACGTGGGGGGGTGGAATTTGTGTCTGAGGCTGGGCTAGAGCCAGGCATGGAGCAGGCACCGGCTGTTCACGCTTCCTCCAGCACAGCCCTGCCAGGGGTCTTCAGTCCTGATACACCGCACCGACTTCTCCCCCCGATCCCCCGCTCTGCCGGTGCCCCTCACTCCCGACCCGCAGCCCCTGGGCTCTCCCACCCCGCTCTGCCGGTGCCCCTCACTCCCGACCTGAACCCCCGCCTCCGGCTGTTTGTGGTCCCTCGCCAAGAGCCTTGCCAGTTGTGGCGCATTCCATGGTGGTTTGTGACTGTGGCTGGGCACTGGCCCTACAGGCCCAGCCCCTGAGCTGGGCTGGGGTGCCCAGATGCATCATGGGGCCATTGTCCTGCGAGGCGTCCTGTGCTGCGCACGGCCCCGGCGCGGTCCCATGAGGGTGCTGGAGAATTGGACTCAGGGAGTCGATAGCAAAGCTCCTGTCCACTGCAGTGAACCAGAGCTTCACCCTCAGCGCCTTGAACAGCGCCTGCAAAGGGTGTCTATGCGGGGGGGGGACGACACCAAACCACCATCCGGGTCTGGACTCTCCTGTCCCGAGGCAGGGTGTGCAGTGGGCACACGGGGAAAGGGCTGTCGCCCCTTTGCTTGGGACCTTAGCAACAGCGTGGGTGGGTCTGATCAGGACCATCTCTGCCTTGGCTGAGGGGGGTGTGCAGGAAGCCTCCTGTCCATCTCTGAGCTCGGCCGTGGGGGGATTCTGGGCGGGACGAGAAGCTGGCGGCTGTTCTAGGACTCTGGGATGTTAGCGTCCAGCGCGGCTCTCCCTGGGAGGTGGCAGAGCCCTCTGATTGGATGCCTGTCTTTGCTCCTGCTGCCCAGTGCATGGGCAATGCCAGCGGTGCCGGTGGCCATGCGGCTGTTAAACAGCTGCTGTGTTCCACCCCAGAGGTGACTGCATTTCAGTGTCAGGTGAAGTGATCCCTTTACCCATGTCACAAAGGGCCTGTGGGGCTAACTTGTGATTGAAGCACTATGAGATCCTCCCAGGAGCGGTGTCATGTATTGTCTATAGATGGGGAAACTGAGGCACAAAGAGAGGCGGAGCCTTGTGCAGCACATCAAGGTTGAACTAGGAGTAGAGCTGGCCCCCGGCCCCCTGTAGTAACCATGGGACACGTGCCTGCGTCTCCGTCGCCTCCCCATGCGGTGCAGGGTATAATTATCCGGATTCTCACAATCAAGCAGGCTCTAGAGCAGGGGATGAAATGTCAGGACAGGTCCCAGCCTGGGGAAGAGAAGGATTTCCGTGCTCCCGCCCCGCAGCCCTCATCACAGGACCACCCTGGCAGCAGAGCCCTGGCTCCATTGTGCGAAGGATTTGCTTAATCTCCAGCTCACTGGTGCAAAGTTACCTCGTAGACAGAGTGGCAGTGCTTTGATCCCGAGCTTGGCGTTGGCCCTGAGCCGGCGGCAGCGGAACAATGCGCCTGCCGAGCGATTCCCATCCCAGGGGCTCCAGGCACTAACGACTAATACTCCAACCCCGCTGTCGGCAGCCCCACTGGCAGAGGGCAAGTGACTCCTCCGTGGTCACGCAGGAAAACTGGCAGCACCAAGAATAGAACCCAGGAGTCCTGGTTCCCAGCTCCCCCACCTGCTCTAACCACTAGGCACCACTCCCTTCCCAGTGCTGGGAATAGAACCCAGGAGTCCTGGTTCCTAGCCCCCATTCGCTCTAACCACTAGGCCCCACTCCCTCCCTTAGCCAGGGTGGAACCCAGGCATCCTGACTCCTGGGCAGGTATTTAAACCACACCCTGCCCCCTCCCTGCATTAGGTGCTGTGTCCCCACCGCAGAGTGTGGCTGGGCCCATGGGGGCCAGCAGCTCGCAGAGGGGGCTGGGCGTGGGGGGTACCAGCGGGTCATGCTGGCTGTGGTTCGGGGGCGGGAGGGGGCTGGCGCCTGTGCCATGAGCCAATGGAAGGCATGCCATTGACCGCGGTGGGCTCTGGAGCCGGGCCCACGTCTGGGCTGCTGGGATGCCAGTCACTGAGTGGCCCCCGGTCCCTCCCTGGTGCCAGGGGCTGGCCCCCAGGAGAGGGGCAGAGCCTGTCTGCCTGCTTGCGGCTGCCCTGGGGGCGGGTCAGCTCGGGGGCTCCCTGAGGACCCAGCTAGGGTGAATAGCTGGGGGGGGGGGCTGGCAGAGGTGGGGTTCAGGGGAGGGGCAGTGGCGCCGGGAGCCCCCACACTAGCTCCCCTCGCTGCAGTAAGCGGCAGCTCTCAACTCCTCGGTGCTCAGAGCCGCTGCCTGGCGGGAGCCCCGGGGCATGGAGCAGCCCCCCCACCCCCACCTGCCCACTCCCTGGGCGCTCCGATATAACAGACAAACCGGCCATGTGGCTAGCAGGAAATCCCCTTTTCTTATACACAGGGACGCCCCGTTAACCTGCGGGACTCACCGCCCCAAGGTGTAGCCTCATGGTTGAGGACCCGGTACGATTCAGAAAAGGTTAAAGACGTACCCCGGCATTTTCCAAAGGCCTTAAGGGACCGTGATCCCAAAGGCCCAGAAATCCCCCATCTCAGCCCCGGGGACAATAGAAGGAACATCTGGTCTGTCGTTCAGCAATCCTGGCTCAGGGCTGAGAGATATTCACCCTCATGCATCAGGGCACAAGTCAACCAGAACCTTCCCAGGGTCAGGAAGGAACATCCCCTGGAGGCAGGCTAGGGCATGAACTGCACGGTTGTATAGTCCGTCCTCTTCAGCACCTAGGCCTGGCTGCTGTCCGAGACGGGCCGCAGGGCTCATGGCTGCCCTCAGCCCGTGCAGCAGGAGAGACCTCCGAGGAGGGACAATGTGACTCAGTGGGTAGGGCTGGGAGTCAGGATTCCTGGGTTCTGTTCCTGGCTCTGCTGCTGACCTGCTGGGCAAGTCATTTCCTCGCTGCGTGTCTCAGTTTCCCCTCCCGCCCTGTGTCTGTTTAGGCTGAGATCTCTATGGGGCAGGGATTGTCCCTGTCTGTGAGCACCCGGCCCCATGGGGCCCAGTCTGAGCTGTGGTCTCTAGGTCCAGCTGTAATCCTGGCAATCACTGGTCTGATGCCACATGGCAGGAGTCGCGTACCAGGCCGGAGGGAGCCCCGGTCTCCTGCACTAGGCTAACCCCTGTGGTCCCCCTGGGCCAGGGGAGGTGGGAGTTTGCTGCGGCGGGTCCAAGGCCGATCTGCTGCCCAGAGACTGCACTGCAGCCCCTCCCGAACGGCCTGGGTCCCCTGCAGCCTGGCTGGGCAGTGGGTGCCCTCTCCCAGTGCACGCCCGTGGCAGGGGGCTGGCTGGGAGGGTGACGTCAGGCGAGCAGGCCCCGCGTGGGGCAGGGTAGGAGACGGTCCCTCCCTCGGGCCCCTGGGCACAGCGAGGGAGCGGGCGGGAAGCGGCTGCTTGGCTGGCGCCGTGAGGGGAGATGCTCATTGGTTGCTTTAGACCCCACCTGGCTTTCCCGACCACCCCAGTAGGAGCTTTGGCGTTCACCTGTGGGCTGGCCCTGACACCCTGC